TTCCGGATGCTCTGGGGCGAGGACCAACAGAGCCAGCGCCACGGTGCAGGAGCCAGGGTTGGATGTGACAGAGGTGCTGAAATGTGTATTAGGAAGGCCAGAAGCCTTCTCGAGACCAGAGAAAACACAGCAAGCTTTCCCTGGAAATTCCAGCACATTCTGTGCAGAGGGCAAGGTGAAGGGCCCAAGGTCCACTGCTCCTCATTCTCCAATGCTCCCATTCTCCCTCCCTAGGATGACCTTTAAGAGAAGCGCTCCACCTCACCTGGCCTCTTCTCAGGCTTAGAGTGATGGGATGTAGAGAAGAAACATAGTTGCCCCTAAATATCCACAAAATGCTTTAGGATCTCCACGTGAGGCTGCTGCCTAAGTAAGACTGGTTCTTAGCATCCTTAGAAGTGGAAAGGAGACATCTAAAATAGACCACCTTCATAAAAAACACCAGAGCTCTCTTTCCATACTGCCAAGAAATATTAAGTGGAAAAAAAAAGCAAGGTTCCAAATAGCATGTATAGTATGCTACCATGTGTGTGAAAGGGAAGGGGATAATCGTGATGAATTTGCTAATGGCTGTGTATAATGTCCTGGCTGTGCATGGAACACCCCTGGAGGAGAAGAAATCAGTATCGCTGGTCGTCTCTTAAGGAAACAGAAGTAGGTAGCAGGAGTCAGGGGTGGACGGAGATGTGTTTACTGTCTCGCCTTTTGTGCCTTTCGAACGTTTTTGTTCATCATACAAATGCATTACCCATTTTTTAAAATTTGAAATAAAAACATTAAAAATGTGTTCAATGTAAAGGAAAAAGAAAACAGTCCTTACGCAGCAAACGGAACACACAGCTATCTTCCTGGTGCACACCAGATGCTCTGTTTGTTGAACTTAGTGAACATCTACTTAAAGGCAACAAAAGAAAATCAGAAACAGGGAAACCCAAGGTATCGATGTTCCAGTTCTCTAGTAAGCTCTTCACCTGTCTGCTACTTCACTATTACAAAAGATGGGAAAAGGAGGCCTTGCAAATGGGGTCTAGTGCCCAAGCTTCGTGGATAACGACAGGCCCGATCACCTGTCCACACCAGCCATTTTATAAAAAGAAAACGTTTAATCCCAAAAACATGATGCCCTGGAACAAAGACAACAAAAATAAATATGCAGATATGAAAAATGATCCTTCGGGGAGATGATGTCAGCATGCACACAGTGTCGACACAAAAATAGCAGCACAGGGGTTAAAAATGTCCATGCATGGGGCGCCTGGGTGGCTCAGTCGGTTAAGCGACTGCCTTCAGCTCAGGTCATGATCCTGGAGTCCCGGGATCGAGTCCCGCATCGGGCTCCCTGCTCGGCAGGGAGTCTGCTTCTCCCTCTGACCCTCCCCCCTCTCATGCTCTCTCTCTCTCATTCTCTCTCTCAAATAAATAAATAAAATCCTTAAAAAAAAAAAATGTCCATGCATGGACAAAGAGATTGGAACATGGAAGGCTGCTATATACAATTCTCAAGCCAGACCACATCCAGAGGCAGCCTGAACCCCTAGGGCTCTGCTCCTGGGGACAGTTTAGTCCAAAATGGAACAGGAAGGCTTCAACACCCCATGCTCGAGTCATCCACACTCTCAAGTTGGTCAAGGAGTAATCAAAACCCACACTGCAATAAACACCAGGATACTGCTAGCAGAAGATCATAGCAGAAATTCTGCCACACGAAATTCTATTACTTTGGAAGTCTCCCTGCTAGGGTTTTTCAAAGAATAGGGATTTCGGCAAAAAATAAAGCAGATGCCACCCCTGTCTCCCATAGGACCAAAGAAAACTATCTTGTATTCTGGGCAGAGGGGAACCACTAAACTCTTTGTGGGCTCTGTTGGAGATGACCAGGAGAAAGGTTTAAGTGGAAGAATTAAGGAATAACAGCAAACGAGAAGCCTTTCGCCAAGATGTTATGGAGAAGAAAGCGAGGTAGAGAGAAAGGGGCCCATATTAACACACAAAGAAACTAAAACAATTATTCTAAGATGGCTGAGCTCTATAGAATGTCCGGAAACAAAACCCCAAAACTCAGAATCAACTCTTAAGAAGGTGCCAGGGGCGCCTGGGTGGCTCAGTTGGTTAAGCGACCGCCTTCAGCTCGGGTCATGATCGCGGAGTCCCAGGATCGAGTCCCACATCAGGCTCCCTGCTCAGCAGCGAGTCTGCTTCTCCCTCTGACCCTCCCCCCTCTCATGTGCTCTCTCTCTCTCTCTCATCCTCTCTCTTTCAAATATACAAATCTTTAAAAAAAAAAAAAAAAGAAGGTGCCAATCAATGAATCTGATAATCTTTGGTACATCCTAGAAAACTCACAAAAACAGAGAAGGGAAAGCCAAAGGTGACCGGATTCCTGCCGGCAAATAAAGGTGATAGGTATCTTCCAATTCAAAGGGAACTGGCTGGCAAACCAAGAGAAGGCGTTTATCAAAACCGTGCAGACAATAAAGGAAACGAAGCTGAACAGAAGAAAGAGAAGAAAGGGAACTTTTCCAACTACAGGGAGAGGAAAAGCTGTTCCATTGTACTTGCCATCCCGTTTATTTCAAGCTCGAGAAAAGAAGAGAAAAATCAGTGAAGCTACATTACCAGCAAAATTCAGTCACACACTTGTGTTCCTGCCAGGCAACGCAGCGCTGCTGATGCTCCCCCTGCTTGAATGACTAAGTAACTTGCTTAAATGCATTTGACACACGATGCTTGAACTTCCAAAAAGCACTTAATACAGTGGCTCATGAAATCTTAATCTAAAAATGTTCACCCATTTATAATCAAGCTGCATCACACTGACAAACGGGCAGGAGGGCCAAACAGAGGGAACTAATATCTGGAAGGATGCTGTGAAGACTGGTATTATCAGGGACTTTGTTTATCACTTTGAAGGATTTCTTTCCGTCTTTTTAAAGAGAATAAGAGAGATTTGTCGCCTAAAAGCAGTGTAATTACAAGGAGAGGACTAACAGAAAATGAATGATACGATTTTTTAAAAAATGCAGTGTGACTTAGAAAAAACCCCACAGACGTTTATGCGACAATGAAATCTGGAATATGGTTAATGAATTGGGGGCAGGAGACAGGAAAAAAAATTAGTTCCTGATAGAAAATACTGCGTGGTAGATATGGGAAAAAAAAAAAGCATAAAAAGGCAACAGAACATCGTATTTCGCAAATCGATAGTGGTTACTATGTGCCAGGCACCGTTCTAAATGCTTCAGATATAGTAACTCATGTAATCCTCAAAACAACCTTCCAATCTAAGTACCATCATTATTCCTGTTTGACAGATGAGCAAACAGATGCATGGAGAGGTTAGCTAACTTGCCCAAGGTTACAGCTTGTAAGAAGTAAGGCTAGGATTCCAATCCGGGTACTCACACCAAAATCTGTGCTCCTAAACTCTCCGGACCCCTCTAGAATTTATAGACCGAGAGTGCAAGTAAAATACAAGTCAGGCACTGGCTAACTCCAGGGTCAACAGACCATCCCTTAGTCATGGCTCTGCAATGACCAGTCAGCCCTGTGACCTCTGCGGGCCTTAGTTTCCTCACCTGTGCATTTAAAAGACAGATTAGGTGAGCTCTAACTAAGGGATCGTCAGCTCTAAAACGCCCCCAAGTCCATGCTGACCATCCACAGTCTATGACCTGGTCTGCTTTCTAACTGGTTATTCAAAGATTAATTCATCCTGAAACCAGCAGCAAATTATGTTCAGGTTCTTTCTCTGCCTTCTGACCTTCAGAAGATTACTATGTCCTCTCCATTCAGGCAAATGACAGGGAGTAATGAAAGGGGTACTGTATGATTTCTCCTTTGGACTCGACTTAATGCGGTTGTAATGAAAGGGCCCTGGAAAAGTTCTGGACGCAGAGCACGTTAACTGTGCCAAACCTACAGTGTCCAAGGCCCCCTCTCTTGAGCCTGTTCTTGGAACCTGCCCTTGGATGTGGTTACTGGGATGCAGGTGAAACTGACCCACTGGAGGAGGGGGGCAACCAAAAGAGAGGAATTGGGGGAGATCAAGAAATGCAGTCCAGGGTAGTTCTAATTACAGAGTTCCGTGATGGCTAAATAAACCTTATCTTCTTGGTATACTCCATTCTCTTTGCTGACACCCACTCTTCAGAGTTGAGACCACAAAATTCATTATGGTGAATTCAACACCCAGTTCCCAACTAACAGACCCCCAGGAATAGCCTTCTCAAGCTAGGCATTAAAGGTCACCCAGAGTGCATCTGTGAGTGGAGAAGGGCCTTACAGGTGGGTCATGCTGCCCTCCTTTGAGAGTCTTTTCTAAGCATCCCTGACAGGTGGCTGTCATCTGGCCTCTGCCTGGACACTTCCAAGGTCGAGGCACAGCGGCTTGCACTGCTGGACAGCTCTCTGTGGGTAAAGCCCACGAAGCGCCTAGAACAGTGCTTGGCGTGGGGCCAAGCTCAATAAGCGCGCCTCCGACTGGGTCAAAAGCTGCCTCCTTACAGCTTGAACCCATGGGTCCTTGGTGCGCCCCTGGAGCCCTGAAACGCAGAGGGCCCCCGGATACCCGGAGCTGTAATCAGGCCCCTCGGCCCTCTCCTTCCAGGTGCGGATCCCAGACCTCTAGCACCAGGCCTGGGTCGGCAGACCCCTTCCCCAGACCCCAGAGGTCCCAAGAGTGAGCACCGATGGAGGGAGGGCCGGCAGGGAGGCCGCAGGCAGGGATGTCCCCATCCTCGGTACCCGAGGTAGGAGGGGACAAAGGGCTTTCAGAAAGGCGTACCCCACCCGCTGCGGTCTAGGCTGCCTCCCTCCCCGCCACTGGGCCAGCCGGCCCTCGGGACCCCTGCGGCGCCAGGTGACAGGCCCGGGAGGATCACAGGCGCAGGCAGCGGCGCGATGGGCCGAGCCACGACGGGGACCTCGGGGCTTAGGGGTTTGGCCCGACGGATACCGGGCGCGATCCCGGCTTAGCGGAGTTCGCTCAGCCGTGGCTTTACCTGCGCGTGGTTGACTACCGCGGCCCCGCTTGCTCCCAGCCCGGTTCCTGCAGCTCCGCGGCTGCCGGCGGCGCTCATGGAAATGCAGCCGGAACCCCTGGCCAGTGCAGCTCCCGCCGCTACCGGCCCCGCCCAAGCAACTGCCGCCACGCCCCTGACGACCGTTTCTGCCACGCCCCTGACACGGAACCCGCCCGCTCATTGGGCGGCCCAGCCGTTGCTCTACGAGCCCCGCGAGCTCATTGCACCCGGCGGGTAGCTCATTGGTCAGTGGAGCTGCTCCTCAGAGTGGAGGCGAAACCGTCGGCGAAGAAGCCCTCCACAATTGGTTAGCTTTGACGTCTTAAGCCCGTGGGCTGAGACGCTATTGGATAAGGCCGGCCCGGAGGGGGCGGGGAAAAGGGAGGGGGCTAAAGGATGGGTCGTGTTTGATGTTGATGGGGGCGGGGTGCGGAGAGGGAGGCAATTGTGACTGCGAGCTTGTTTTGGGGGCTGGGTAAGGTCAGGTGTCTTGTGAAGTTGAGAGAAAGGTGGCCCACTAGGTAGCTCAGCTGCGGAGTCTGCCGGCTCCAGGCCGACCCACTAACTCACCCGTAGCCCAGAATACAGCGCACTTCACCGGTCGTGACCGGGAGAGAGGAGGGGGGAGAGTGAGTCACCGAGCCGCATGGAGAGGAAAGGATGTGGAGAAAGCAGCCTCTGGCTCCTTCCAGCTGGGTTAGGGTGATGGGGACATGCCGGGCAGTGTGGACCACCTGTCACTGTCCCACTGCCCTTCCAGCTCTCAAGATGACCCTAGCCCAGTGGGAGGCAGCTGGAGGAAAGTAGCCTGTGAGTCAGACCTGCTGTTGACTCAAGACTGGTTGCGTGGTCTTGAGGAAGTCACTTAACCTTTCTGCATGCACCCTGATTTCTTTGGCAACTGGCAGTAACAATAGTAGTTGACAAGGAGATTTAAATAAACGTGGTAAGCACTCAGCAGGCATGTAATCAAGACCGGTTCCTCACCCATTCACCTCCGTGAGTCCATGGAACTCGGCCCAGTTCTAAAATTCTATGAGCCTGAAACTGCTTTTGCAGTGGCATGTGCTTTACCAAGAATAGAACACTTGACTTGAAATGCAACCCCTTTTAAGGATGGACAAGGCCACCCTACCAGAGCAGGTAGGGCTGGAAGAGAGAGAGCAGGGGATGAGATGGGAGAGGAGCATTTAGTGAGAGAAGGGAAGTGGTATTCATAGCAATGTTACATTTTTTTCCAGAACATTTCAGGACTATGACAAGGAAAAATGGAACTTTCCTCCTCCTGTTCAGCCTTCCAAGTGTCCAGTGGCTCAAGTTTCATGGAGGATGACCAAATAACCCATAGAAGGGTGATCAGCACTGAGCCAGAAACCACTGCATAAAATCTTTCAGGACTCCTGAAGCCCAGTCCCCATTCTGAAGGCGTGGAAGTCCTAGAGTGTGAACAGAACTAGCCTCTTTGGCCTGAATTTAGCCTCAGACCCTTTGGGTCTGCCTTTGAGAGAACCCACACCCACGGTGTTCCAGGGTGAAGGAGAAGAAAGAATCCTTTGCCAATGCTGTATTTTTCAGTCAGTTGCCACCTTACCTTAAAAAAAAAAAAAAAAAAAAAAGTCACACGTCAGTACTAATTTATTCCTCTATATCTCTTCCAGCTTGGAAAAGAAAAACCCAGGCTTCAGTAGGACCCCCAGGGTTCTGACTCTTGCATTAACACAGCTTGGGCTACCAGAAAAGAGCTTTAGATCTGTTGCCAGTTGTGTGTGTGTGTGGTGCTCAGGCACACACACACACACATGAAGGCACACTTGTTTCTGCTTCATTTTCCAAGTTCTCGTGTCTTTAAATAGTACTGCTTGGTGGTCATGCCATGTCTGCACACGTACTGGGGAAACTGGCCCAATACAGGTCTGCTCCTGCTTGTGTTTGCTAAAGGAGACTGAGATGTCTCGTTAGGTCTGGCAAGGCATTCAAGTGACTCCTGAGATCCGGGAAGATTTCTCCGGCTTGATTCAGAGCCACAGAAAGCAGCTGTTAGGAGTAGATTGCTCTACTGGATGGATTTTTTCCCCTACGTCAGGGGCACAGCTTCAGCCAAGAGTTCCAGAAAGGGACATCCATCCAGTTCAGGAATTCTAAAACACAATTGCATCACAATGGCTCAGAAAGATGCACAGGGGGGTGGGGGGCACCTGGGCGGCTCAGTCAGTTAAGCTTCGGATTCCTGATTACGGCTCAGGTCATGATCTCAGGGTCGTGAGGTCTGGCTCTGGGCTGGGCATGGAGCCTGCTTAAAATTCTCTCTTGCTCTCTGCCCCCCCTCTAAAGAACAAAAATGCACAGAATGAGCCCACTTAAGAACCTTTCTCTAAGGTGATCATTTTTTAAGTCCCTCAGAAGTGGAGACCACAGAATTCAAGGTTTGTTTTCATATACACTTTATTTTTTTAAATAGTTTTAGATTCGGGGCGCTGGCTGGATCAGTTGGAAGAGCATGCAATTCTTGATCTTGGGGTTGTGTGTTCGAGCCCCACATTGGGTGTAGAGATTAGGTAAATAAAATTAAATAAATAAACAATAAATAGTTTTAGATTCACAGCAACGTTGGGTAGAAAGTACGGAAAGTTCCCATTTATCCATTCCCCCAACACAGGCAGGATTACTTTTTTTTTAAGGTTTTATTTATGTCAGAGAGAGAGAGCACGTGAGTGGGAAGAAGGACAGAAGGAAAATGAGAGAATCTCAAGCAGACTCTGAGCTGAACACAGAGCCCAAGGTGGGGCTCGATCTCACAACCCTGAGATCATGACCTGAGCTGAAATCAAGAGTCAACGCTCAACCATCTGAACCACCCAGGCACCCAGGATTATTATTTTTTAAAAGATTTATTTACTTATTTGAGAGGGTGAGTGTATGTGAGCATGCACGTACAAGTGGGGGGAGAGGGAGAGAGAGAATCTCAAGAAGACTCCCCACTGAGTGTGGAGCAGACGTGGGGCTCAATCCCACAACCCCAAGATCATGACGTGAGCCAAAACTGAGAGACGCTCAACCAACTGAGCTACCCAGATGCCCCACCGGCAGGATTTTCTTACTAGCAATATCTACCAGCTGGTGAAACTTTTCCTTTAGAATATCCTTACCAAAAGAGGGTTCCCAGGACTGAGTTAAGGTTTTTGAGACTAGACCTCATCACCATAATCAGTGAGAGGGAAGTTGAAAGGATGTGGCTGAAAAAAACAGTGCTAAAAACTGCAGCCTGGATGCTCATGAAATTTTTCAGAGGGCCTGAGAGCACCAGCTCTCAGGAGTCAAAGATTGCTACATTCTTTTCATACCCAGTGCTGCCTGTGTTGAAGTCTAGGAAGGGAGGTCAGAGTTCTCCATGGCCAGACTTCCTGGCTAGCTGCTCATTGATAATGGAGATGAAATTTGTTTGAAGTTCTAAGTCCCAGTATGCAATAATTGCATGAGGACAAACTATGATGAAATTCAAGGGTTTGGCTTGTTTTGTTATTGGAAAAACTTCCCCCTGGCTATTTAAAACAGTGCTGAATAGCAAGTTTATGTTTTAGGCTGCTTCCTTAAACCTACATGTGAAGTTGTCTGTAAAAAATGCATAGGGTGATTTTATGCCCAGGAGAGTCTTGGGTTATGCCTCTTGCCCTGGAAAATTTTTAATAGTGACCCCCTTTCATCTCAAATGGTCTCAGTATGGATGATAAATGATACGGTAGTACTTACATACATAGGACCTAGCACTGAAAATGCTCATAAAACGCACTCACACACACACGGGTAAAAAGCTGTTCTAGCCTTATAATCAGATACAGAGTATCAGACAGGTGTTTGGCTAAAGATGACTTCTTAGTCACCATGCATTCCTCTTCTTGACGTCATCCTTAATTACAGTAATAAAAATCGAGTTCCTCATGCTATCAACTCAAAAGGAGTCAATAAAACTGACACATTAAATAAGTGCATCACACACTCTTTCCTGCATAATTTCATGTTATTGAGCTATTTTAAAGCTGTTTACATCCTACGAGAGATCTCTATTTTATTTTTCCATATATGGAATTAATTAACAAGAGAGTGAATATTTTTACTGCACAGGACATAGAGTACGAATGAGATAGACAGAACAATAAGCCAAAGTCCCATCTCAATATAGGACAAATACTTGAAGAGATACCAAAAAGACTGAGCAGTAAGCAATAGAGCATAATCAACATTGTGAACAATTATGCAGAGGAAGGAAAAATTTCTCCTGTTTTAGATTCTTGGAGTTTTGAACTGGACCTTGAAGTTGGGGTGGGGATGAGATGGCATTCCCAGCAGGTGAGGACAACAGGAACAGAGGCCTTTAAGTGGAAAAATACAAGTTGTTTCGGGGCGCCTGGGTGGCTCAGTCGTTAAGCGTCTGACTTCGGCTCAGGTCATGATCCCAGGGTCCTGGGATCGAGCCCTGCATCGGGCTCCCTGCTCCGCGGGAAGCCTGCTTCTCTCTCTCCCCCACTCCCCCTGCTTGTGTTCCCTCTCTCGCTGTGTCTCTCTCTGTCAAATAAATAAAATCTTAAAAAAAAAAAAAATACAAGTTGTTTCGTCTGGAGAAGAGTCCAAGTGGAGAATCGGCAGGAGAGAAGATGAAAAGGTAGATAGGGCTCGTGATAGATGGCAGTTAATGCCTTCATCTGAGTTCATGGCCTCATCTCAGCTGCCTGAGTATTTGGACTTCCTAGCACTGTATATAGCGTGCTCCAGGCATCTGCATATCACCTGCATAATTTTGAACCTATCTCTTTATTACCTGGTTATTATTAATAGTTTCATTAAACTCACCCACTTTTTAAATTACATACCTTCTTCTGCCTCATACTAAATCAGTGGTTCTCAACTGGGGGCAAGTTCACCCCCAACCCGGGACATTGGCAATATCTGGAGGTGTTTTTTGGTTGTCACAACTGAAGAGAGTGCTGCTAGCATTTAGTGGGTAGAGGCCAGGGGTGTTGCTGGACAGGACAGCCCCCACAACGAAGAGTCATCTGGCCCCAAATGTCAGTAGCGCTGAGGTGAGAAACCCTGAACACCTGAGCAATAATGTCTGTAATATTATAGGCTTGATGTGCTGGTTATATTTTATTCTACTTTACATGAAAATAATGTCACAACGATTAAACTTTAAAATGTTCTTCCCTGTGCTACTTGATTCAAACAGACATTTGTACACCCACATTCACTGCAGCATTATCCACAATAGCCAAAAGGTGCAAACAACCCAATTGTCCTTTGACGGATGAATGGATAAACAAAGTGTAACATAGGCATATTATGGAATATTGTCCAACCTTCAAAAGGAAGAAAATTCTGACCCATGCTCTACCATGAGTGAAACTTGAAGACATTACGCTAAGTGAAATAAGCCAGTCACAAAAGGACAAATGTTGCATGATTCCACTTATAGGAGGAACCTAGGAGAGTCACATTCATGGGGACAGAAAATAGAATAGTGGCTACCAGGGACTGGGACGGGGGTAATGGGTTGTTATGTGAAGGGTACAGAGTTTCTGTTTTGCAGGATGAAAAAGTTCTGGCGTTGGAGGGTGGTGATGGTTGTACAATGATATGAATGTGCTTAATATCACTGATTGTACATTTAAAAGTGGGTGAGAGGGTAAACTTTATATTTTGTATATTCTACCACAATAAGAAACGTTAAGCTTTTTCTCAAGATCACCTGTGATACATCTCAACCTGCTTTCAAAAACATGAGGCCTAGCTCACAGTAGATGGTAACATTTGTTGAATGAAATGGAAAGGAGTTAGATTTATCTTCTTCTAAGCCATAAGAAGGAATTGAAGAACATGTGCTTTAGAAGTGGAAATATCTGAATTTAAATTCAGCCTGTGGCATTTATTGGTTGTGTTCTCTCAGGGAAGTGAACTAAGACTTTATGAGTCTCGATTTCTTCATTTATAGAATAAAGAAAATAATGCCCATCCCATAATGTTGGAAAATGACATAATGTGCATGAAATGCTTAATTACAGTATTCAGTATATTGTTTGTACTCTATGAATGATAACTATTGCTATTATTATTATTTTTTTAACAGTTTTATTGGGATATAATTCACATGTAATTTACCTATTTAAAGTATACAATTCAACAGGTTTTCATATATTTACAGAGTGTGCAACTATCACCACAATCGATTTTAGAACATTTTTATCACCCCAAAAAGAGTCCCCTTGTCCACTAGAAGTCACTCCCCATTTCCCCCAAACACAAGCCCTCCAGCTCTAGACAACTCAGTCATCTACTTTCTGTCTTGATAGGCTTGCCTATTCTGGACATGTCATGTAGATGGACTCATACAGTATGTGGTCTTTTTATGACTGGCTTCTTTCCCTTAAAATAATGTTTTTAAGGTTCATCCGCATTGTAACATGTATCCATATTTTATTCCTTTCTTTTTAATTGAGTTGTAAGTGTTCTTTATATATTCTAGGTACAAGTCCTTTATCAGATACATGATTTGCAGATACTTGCTCCCATTCTGTGAGGTGTCTTTTCATATTCTTAATGGTGTCCTTGGAAACACTGAAGTTTTTAATTTTGATGAAGTTCAGTTTACCTATTTCTCTTTGTGCTTCTGTTGTCATACTGAAGAAAGCTTTTCCTAATCCAAGATCCATGAGGATTTACTCCTGTATTTTCTTCTAAGGGTTTTCTAGTTTTAGCTCTTACGTTTAGGTCTATGACCTCTTTTGACTTAATATTTGTGTCATGTGAGGAAGAAGCCCAACTTCATTCTTGTGCATGTGAGTGTCCAGTTTGTCCAGCACCATTTACTGAAAAACACTTCTTTTCCTATTTGAATGTCACACTTGTCAAAAATCAGTTGGCCAGAGATGTATGGGTTTGCTTCTGGGCTCTCAGTTCTAGTTCTCTGATCTATATGTCTCTCATTAGGTCAGTATTACACTCTCATGATTACTGTAGCTTTTGCAGTAAGATTTTAAAAATTGGTAAGTGTGAGTCCTCCAACTTTGTTCTCTTTTTTCAAGGTTGTGTTGCCCCTCTGGGTCCTTTAAAGAATTTTTCATTTCAGTTATTGAACTTTCTGACTCCAGAATTTCCATTGGTTCTTTTATAAATTCTCTTTACTGAAATTCTCTCCTTAATGCGACACTGTCATTTGACCTCTCTTTACTTCTTTAAACAAGGTTTCCTCTGGGATCAAGTCCCACATTGGGCTCCCTGCTCGGCGGGAAGCCTGCTTCTCCCTCTCCCACTCCCCCTGCTTGTGTTCCTGCTCTTGCTATCTCTCTCTCTGTCAAATAAATAAATAAAATCTTAAGAAAAAAAAAAAAAGAACAAATGCTTCTTTGGGGCGCCTGGGTGGCTCAGTTGGTTGGGCGACTGCCTTCGGCTCAGGTCATGATCCTGGAGTCCCGGGATCGAGTCCTGCATCGGGCTCCCTGCTCAGCGGGGGGTCTGCTTCTCCCTCTGACCCTCCTCCCTCTCATGCTCTCTGTCTCTCATTCTCTTTCAAATAAATAAATAAAATCTTTAAAAAAAAATAAACAAGGTTTCCTCTATTTCTTTGACCATATTTATAACAATTGCTTTGAAGTCTTTGTCTGCTAAGTCTGACATCTGAACCCTCACAAAGGCAGTTTCTGATACCTGATTTTTTTCTTGTATAATAGGTCATACATTCCTGTGTCCTGGCATGTATCATAGTATTCTTTGAAAACTGGATATTTTAAGTAACTTTGGATAAAGATTCCTCCCTACTCTGGGGCTTGTTGTTGTTTGCTTGCTTACTTGTTCAGTGACTTGGCTTGACTGTTGTAGTGAAATCAATTCCCTCATAGTGTGCACTCTGATGTCACTCCTCAGAGGGTACAGCCTTGGATATGTGCCCAGTCTCTGGGATGACAGTGGTCTTAACAAGACTTTGTCTCTTGGGGCGCCTGGGTGGCTCAGTCGGTTAAGTGTCCAACTTTGGCTTGGGTCATGATTTCAGCGTCCTGGGATCAATCCCCATGTCAGGTTCCCAGCTCAGTGGGGAGCCTGCTTCTCCTTCTCCTTCTGCCCCTCCCTCTGCTTGTGCTCTCTCTCTCTCAAATAAATAAATAAAATCTAGAAAAACAAAACAAAACCCAACAAGACTTTGTCTCTTTACCTGATTTCTCTGTTAAGCCATCTGCCTCCTTTGGTATCACATCCAGCTGTTAGCCTCCCCCAGATGCTGGCTGGTTACTCTACTGGGTTTAACATTGTCCTGGGGTATAAACTCCTCCACACTCTTGTCCAACTAAATCTGGGCCCCTTTCCAGGGGTAGTCTACGAGGCTTATTCCAGCCAAGAGGCTCTCCATACTGTCTCTTTCCCTGGTTCTCTCTAGTATACATCTAGCTAGTCAGCAGTTTAACTTCTTGCTCAAATGGAGCTCCCAGACTCCTCTTAGCTGTTTACCAACAACATTTCCATTGTTTTTGAGACTAGTCTATTCTTGAAGTTCCCCACACTGTATTCCAAATAAAGTCAGTTTCCTTGGGGTGAGCTTTGGAGCTCTCTGTTCTTATGGCCTGCTTCTCCTCCTAGGCAAAACCACTGCTCCAGAACATGGGGAGCATGGGCAGGGACAATGGCCTTCTTCTCTTAGAGCGACGACAATGCTTTATGAATAGAGTGCTGGACAAGGGCAATAGACTCTACTGTTGTCAGCTTGCCTCCCCCCTCCCCGAATATCTACCCTGTGAGCAAGCTGGGGCCAAAGGTGATTGAGGCCCCAGTATTTTCAGCCTGTGATGCCTGGGGTAGAGATTATGTCCTGTGAATGGGAGCAAGGTAGAGGCGATGAGCACCAGTCCTCTCAGCCAGTCTTGCTTGGAATAGAGCTTTTGCAACATGAGGCTGGAGGGGATGAGAAATGCTGGCAGCCTGCCTCTCTGGGGGACACTGAGAGCCGAGGGAGGCGGGAGCCCTGTGTTCTTGGCTTCACCTGCCCAGAGTGGAGCTTCCACCACGCCGAGCTGGGACAGGAGAGAGGTAAGGAGAGGTTTGAGGCTCAAATGTCGCTGACTCTCACTGTTCTCACCGAGATTTAGTGAATTTTCTTGAATAAAATTTCTTAATTTGCTCTGTGCTCTTAAGATGGCTTTCAGAGACTGTGAATTGTTATGGTTTTGGTTTTGATTTTTTTTTTTTTTAAATTTTCACCAGTTACTGTTGTTTCCCTGTGGAGAGGGTTCATGGAGCAACTCATGCCACCATTCCAGAAGTCAGGCGCCCTGTTGTGATGATTTATCATGAGGCAGTACTTTAGTTAGTCTGGAGGTAGTGTTCAGGGTAATATAGAAGTAGGAGAGACTGATGCCAGGTGGAAGAAGCGGTGGGCACCGAACCGGCTCAGATGGAAAGTGATAAAGATCTGAATGTGACAGAGGGAGTAAAAAGGACAAGAGTGGGTGTGGGTACAGCCAGATTCATCAAGACCTCCCTGCCGATTAAATCTGGGGTGCCCGGAGGGGAGGGAAGGGTCAGAGAGGATTCCAAGGTGATTCTATTATGGAAGAGGATGTGTTCTCTTGAGACGGCGGTAGCAGATCTATTCGAGGGAAAGGGCAAATAGTGCATTGTGACCAAGAAAGTAGGACTGGAGAGTAGGCGAAAGGTCGAGCTTTCTATTTGTAGACAGGAATTTTGCCATCACACGTTTTGTGTAACACTTCGCAACGGTGCCCACACACAAGATAGCAGAAGTCACGAGAATAGAAAATTCCAGAGAAAGAGAAAAGCAGATCAGGTCACCTTAAATGTGGGAGAACAGAACTCTTAGCAGGCAGGAGTGAGGGAAATTGAGAAGGTACCGCTGGAAAGGTAGAAATCATGAGAGCTAATGCTTATTAACCCTGACTAAGAGCCAAGCACGGTTTTAAAAACTTTATATGTTTTCTTATATTTAATCCTCGAAGTAATGCCACAGCGTTAATGATAATTACCCTCATTTTACAGATCAGAAAACTGAGACCAGAGAGTTGAACCAATGGGCTCACACAGGTGGTATGCGATAGAGCCCAAATTAAAACCTAAGCAAAAAACCTAAGCAGTCAAGGACATACATAACATTCATTCCCAAATGTGTGCCCAAAGAAACGTGCATATGGCAATGTTTGTGGTGGGGCTGTTTGTAATAGCCTAAGACTGTAAATAGCCCTCATGTCCATTAACACTAGAATGGATACACAAATTGTGGCATCTTCATCTTCAATGGAATATTTTTTTCTTTTTTTTTTTTTTTAAAGATTTTATTTATTTATTTGAGAGAGAGAATGAGATAGAGAGAGCATGAGAGGGGGGAGGGTCAGAGGGAGAAGCAGACTCCCTGCCGAGCAGGGAGCCCGATGCGGGACTCGATCCAGGGACTCCAGGATCATGACCTGAGCCGAAGGCAGTCGCTTAACCAACTGAGCCATCCAGGCACCCTCAATGGAATATTTTACAACAGTGAATGAAAAACCCATTGCTAGAAGCAGCAACACGGACATAATGTTGGGCAAAAGAAGCCAGTCACAACAGAGACCGTGTTGCATGATTCTACTTATATTGAGGCAGAACGAATCTATAGTGTGAATAAGTCAGGTCATCTCTGTGGGATAGTAGAGACCAGGAGAGGGCATTAGGAGGGGGTCCAGTAATGTTCTGTTTCCTGATCTGGGTGGTGGTTACACAGGTGTGTTCATTTATGAAATCTCACCAAGCCGCACACTTACAGATCATGTACTTTTCTGTGGATAGGTAATACTTCACTACAAACTCTAAGACAAAAGAAAGCAGAAGGGAATGAGGCCATATGATTAGAGGACATACCCTTTTAACCAAAGAACTGTCAAGATAACAGCTGCACTGTTTCCTCTTCAACGAGTAAAATGCAAAGAAAAATGCAGAGGGGATTCCATGAAATTATACATTTAAAAGAAATTTAAGAGGCAAATTGACCAAATGCAACATATGGGACTTGTTAGCATCCTTATTAAGACAGACTGGAAAAAAAAAGTAATGAAACCATCAGAGACTTTGAACACATTGCATCTCAGATGAGATATTAAGGTATTGTTGATTTTAGGTCTATTAATTGTATTGTGATGATTTTTAAATGGCTGTATATTTCAGAGGTACATATTGACATGTTTATGAGTGAATTGATGTGACATTTGGGATTTGCTTCAAAATAATGTGGGTGTGAGTATAGAGATGAAACCAGATTGGCCAGGGGTTGATCACTGTTGAAGGTGGGAGGTGATTACCTGGGTGTCACTGTACTATTCTCTCTACTTGCATATATGTTTGAACATTTTTTTAAATAAAGATTTTATTCACCTATTTGATAGAGAGAGAGAGAGCACAAGCAGGGGGAGCGGCAGGCAGAGGGAGAGGGAGAAGCAGGCTCCCCACTGAGCAGGGAGTCCGACGCGGGACTCGATCCCAGGGCCCCGAGATCATGACCTGAGCCAAAGGCAGACGCTTCACCGACTGAGCCACCCAGGCACCCTGTAAATAAGAAGTTTTTTTTTAAAAAGAAGAAAACTTACATTCAGTGTGCCCGCAACGTAATTGATGTCCATGGTTCCATATTTTTAAGTTTGTATCTGCACTAAGATGGACAGAGGAGAGCTCAGGTGCACGGTCACGGATACCAAGGGAGGAGGGAATGTTCTTGTGGCGCCCATGGCTGAGGTACTGCTTCTCCCCCCACTGCACCACTGTCACAGTTCTGGCCCAGGTCACCATGACCCCCAGTCACTGCCACACCTAGCAGTTGTTTTCCAGCCCCCCTACTTGACTTCTGGGTAGCCTGGGACTAGTGGCAGGCACCCCTGCTTTCCCCTGCCTCCCCATCAGGCTGCACTACAGACCCTTCTTCCCGCGGCTGACTCAGCCATGCAGTCTGTCCTCAGGCCTCTACTCTTCTCCCCCATACACTCCTCCCAAGTGGTTTCAACCCCTCCTAGTAGCTTCAGTTGCTGCCAGGCTGTCTTTCTGAAATGCTACTTTGCTCACCTGATTCCCTCGCTAAAACCCAGGAGCAGCTTCCCATTCCCCAGTGACCACGTTCTAACTCTTCGTAGAGGCACAGGAAGGCTTTCAGCATCTCTCTGCTCCTCTACCTCCTTTCCAACTACCTCCCAGCCTTCCTCCTCCCATTCGGCTTCACACCTTCCATGTCCACCAGTTACATCACCGACACTTCTGGAATGTGCCATGCTATTTCTTGCTCCCAAAACTCTGACTCCATCTGGAATACCTACCTATAGACTGCCTCACCTGGAAAACTCGAGTCATCTTTGGGACTCTGCTACAGGGTCATTTCATGGGTAAAGCCTTTCCTCATCTTCCTGTGGAGTTCATTCATTCAGTCAATCATTCATTAATTCATTCAAAAAATATTCAGGCTCAGGGCCCTGTGCTAAGGTTGGGTGCTGAGGTCAAGAACCCATGTAGTTCACACTTTATGTCATGGCTCTTATCTCACCAATAGGATTGACTTATATAATAGCCCCTAGCCACTCCCACCCCTTCACCCCACTTCTTGAGGTCAAAGATAGTGACTTACTCATCTTTATACCCCAGTGATAGTAGGCATTGAAGATGTTTGCTCAGTTGAACTAAAGGAGAAGAGTCACTGAGAAAAGGACTTTGGGTTTGACTATTCACTCTTGCTTATCTTTGGGTGTCTATGCGGTAAAGTTCAGGATCAAGGGTAGACAGAATAAGCCCTTTCCCCCTTGGAAACACGATGGCAGCAAGATTGAGTCATGGGGGTGGTCAGAGTATTTTAAAAGGCATTGGGAAGAGCCAGTAGGAAACAGACTTCAGACACTAGTGAGGGGCGCTTGGCTGGCTCAGCGTGTGGAGCCTGTGACTCTTGATCTCGGGATCGCGAGTTCGAGCCCCAAGTTGGGTGTAGAGATTACTTAAAAACAAAATTAAAAAAAAAAAAAAGATGCTAGTGAGAGGAGGCAACCGTCCAGAAGCAAAATGACAAAGAAGATGAGGTTTGCCATTTTTGGTGGTGGTGGGATGGGAGGGTGGGCCTTGGACAGGCCCAGAGACAGCAGCGATAAAAAGGGGAGTAGTTGTCACAGCCCCCTGGAGTGGCTGTATCAGGCCAGATCCTTTGCACCTTGTTTCTTTGTTGTTGTTTATTTTTATTTATTTTTAAGTGATCTCTACACCCAACATGGGACTCAAACTCATAACCCTGAGATCAAGAGTGATGTGCTCCTCCACCTGAGCCAGCCGGACATCCCTACATCTTTATTTTACTTAATTCTCACAGTGTTCGTGTTGGAATGAGGAGATGGTTCAAAGTGTGTCAGTGACTCTCCACCCTGGCTACACGTCAGAATCACCTGAGGAACGTGTAAAAATGTGATTCTGGGTCTTCCAGCTTTTCTGGTTTAATCTGATCACTGGCATCTGATTTTTTTTTTTAAAGATTTTATTTATTTATTTGAGACAGAGAGAATGAGATACAGAGAGCATGAGAGGGAGGAGGGTCAGAGGGAGAAGCAGACCCCCTGCCGAGCAGGGAGCCTGATGAGGGACTCGATCCCAGGACTCCAGGATCATGACCTGAGCCGAAGGCAGTCGCTTAACCAACTGAGCCACCCAGGCGCCCTGGCATCTGATTTTTTAAAGTCATTCAGGTGATTCTATTATACAGTCAGAGGGAGAGCAAACATAAGGAATCTGTCAGCCCACTTGCTGGGATGGTATTTAACTCCTGTGGGCCTGATTCCGAAGCCTACACATCTCCCCCTAGAGCTGTGCTTCTTAAGGTGTGGTCTCTGGACCGTTAGAATTGCAGACCCTCAGTCCTCACCCCACACCTCCTGAATCAGAATCTGTTTGGCAAGACCCCTGTGTGCTTCATCCATGCATTAGAGTTTGAGAAGCATTGCCTTAAACCTCTAGTTCCCAAATGTGGCAGACAAACAGCATCAACTCTGGAGCTTTTGGTTTTGAAGTACAAATACTCAAGGTGCCTGGCTCAGTAGGAAGAGCGTGCGACTCTTGGTCTTGGGATCATGAGTTCAAGCCCCACATTGGGCGTAGAGCTTACTTTAAAAAAAAAAAGGTACAGATTCCGGCTTTGCCTCCAAGAAAACACCAAATGGCCAAAGGCGCTGGTGCTGTGCTTGGGCCCTGGCGGGGGGGGCCCTGGCTGGGGGTGGGGCTCGGCCCAGAGCTGGGAGCTGCAAGGCTGAGGACCAGGAGCGGTTCCCCATCAGCAAGCTGGGTCAATGACAAGAAGGACAAGAAGATCAGGTCCCTGGAGGAGATGGATCTCTTCCTGCCCATCAAGGAATCTGAGATCACTGACTCTTTCCCGGGGACATCCCTCAAGGATGAGGTCTCGAAGACTGTGCAGAAGTAGGCTCGTGCTGGTCCGCGGCCCAGGTTCAAGGCGTTTGTTGCCATCGGAGATTATGTTGGTCTGGGTGTTCAGTGCTCCAAGGAGGTAGCTGCTGCCATCATTGTGGCCAAGCTTGCCATCATCCCTGTGTGGTGGGCAAGACTCCCGGGGGAACAAGATGGGCAAGCCCCACCATGGCTCACGCAAGGTGATCAGCCGCTGTGGCTCTGTGCTGATGAGCCTCATCCCCGATACCAGGGGCACTGGCATCATCTCTGTGCCCAAGAAGCTACTGATGATGGCCGGTATTGACGATGGCTACCCCTCAGCCACGGGCTGCCCTGCCACCCTGGGGAGCTTTGCCAAGACCCCTTCTGGTGCCACTCCCCAGACCTACAGCTCTCTCGCCGCTGACCTATGGAAAGAGACAATGTTCACCAAGTCTCCCTATCAGGAATTCACCGACATCTTGTAAAGACCCACACCAGAGTCTCCATGCAGAGGACCCAGGCTCCACCTGTGGCCACCACACAGTTTTATCCAAGAAAAATTCAAGTGAATTAAAGCCTCTTAAAAAAAAAATAGGGGAGCCTGGCTGGCTCAGTCGGTAGAGCATGTAACTCTTGATCTCGGGGTCATGAGTTCAAGCCCCACATTGGGTGTAGAAATTACTTAAAAAAAAATAAAATCTTGGGCGCCTGGGTGGCTCAGTTGGTTAAGTGACTGCCTTCGGCTCAGGTCATGATCCTGGAGTCCCTGGATTGAGTCCCGCATTGGGCTCCCTGCTCGGCAGGGAGCCTGCTTCTGCCTCTGACCCTCCCCCCTCTCATGTGCTCTCTCTCTCTCATTCTCTCTGTCTCAAATAAATAAAATCTTTAAAAAATAAAAATAATAAAAATAAATAAAATCTTTAAAAATAAATAATGAAATGAATTAAAAAAAAAACCACACACACAAAGTACAAATTCTCTAGGTATCCCACCCAGGGTTCAAATTCATTAGGCTTGAGGTCATGCCTATGTTCCTTCTTTAAAAACCCCCAGTAGAGGCACCTGGGTGGTCATGGTCCTGGGGTCCTGGGATCGAGCCCTGTGTCGGGCTCCCTGCTGGGGGGGACCCTACCTCTCCCTCTCCCCCTACTTGTGCTCTCTCTTGCTATCTCTTTCTCTCAAATGAATAAATAAAATCTTTAAAATTTTTTTTAAAAAAATTTAAAAAAAATAAAATGAAACCCCCTGGTAAATCTGATGGTCAGTTAATTTTAGGGACTATTCCACTCCATGATGTTGCCTCTCTGTAGAAGGAATTTTCTGAGTATTCTTTTCCAAGGCACCTCAGAAGGTTGCCTAAGTTGGCCAGATTTGACAAGTGAAAATACAGAACATCCAGTACAATTTGAATCTCAGAGAAACAGGAAATAAATTTTTGTGTAAGAATGTCCCAAATATTGCTTGGAATATACTAGTTATAATTATTTTAAATAGTAAAAATTTTAAATTTAGAGTATTTACTAGTAAAAAAATTAAATTTAGTAAATTTGGTCAATTTAAATTTGGTAAAAATTGCTAAAAAAATTATTGTTTATTATTTAAATTCAATTTAAGTTCAAATTGAACTGGGTGTTCTGAATTTTTTCTGGCAACCCTACTCACAACAGTCCCGGAGTTTCAAGGAGAAATTCGGCATAAACTTAGGGAGGGGAGGATGAGGCAGAGCTTGCCAGGACATCCACAGTGAATGGATGAATGAATAGGTGAATATACAAAACACTGTGTCATGCTCTCTCAGTCAGCTTAAGCTAGGTTACGCCTAAGGCTGCAGAAAAATGACTCTGACATCTCAGTGGCTCACAACCCCAAAGGTTTATTTCTTGCTCGCATTACATGTCCATAAAGGTCAGCTGCATCTCCTCTTCATTCTGTGACTAAGGCTCATGGGAGACTTCTAAAACTAGAACATTCCTGGCCTCATGGAAAAGGATAAAAGAGAATGGTTGACCACAGAATGATTCTTAAAGCTAGGATGACCAAATGTCCCATTTTGTCCAGGACTAAGCATTCCTGGGACCTAAGACATCAGCCCTAAAACTAGAGTAGTCCTGGACAAATCAAGATGTTTAGCCACCCTAATACAGCTTCTACTTGGAAGTGACTCTGGTCACTTGTGCTCACATGCCATTGGCCAAGAGAGTCACATTACCAACTTTGTCATCAATGGGACGAGCACTTAAAAGCCTCCAGTAGTGAGGGACCCACAGAGAGGGGCAATTAATGTTTTTAATACTAATACAATCTTCCACAAAAAAGCAGGTTGGGAAAACCTCACAGTCCTCTCTTTAGGAAGAATATAGAACAGGAAGGACCTCCAAGATGTCAGAGCCAAGGGCCATGAAGGACAACAGCCTAAGGATCTCCCCTCTCCCTGGGAGCAGGACTAGGACCTAATCAAGAAACACTCCCTACACCCAGGATCGGTAGCAGCCCAGGGGAATTTCAAGATTTCCACAGACCAGTGACTACTATGTTCCCCATTCTTTCCTTTCTAAATGGATTGGGATTACTCCATCCCTGTTGCTCCTTTGTTCATGGAAAGGAATGGATAAGGCCTTTTAGTTCTAGATCTCCAGATCTAGAGGAACCACATCCAGACCTGATGTATCATGAAATGCTGGGCTTAAAGTCTGGCGCCATGTTTAGATGAGAATTTAAGTTGTCTCCTGAGAGGAGTGAGTTTGTTTTGCAGAAAAGAGGGAAACAAATATTTGCGAACAATGGGGAATACTAGAGTAGATTGTGTTATTATCCAAAATATTTGTTGTTTCTCCAGGGCTACTTCCTTTGGGATCCCTACCTATATAAGGATTATATTTGCAACCCCACTGACTTTAGGCTTAGCCTTGTGACTTGCTTCGGCCAACAGAACGTAAGTAGAACTGACGCAGGTCACTTCTGAGCCAGAGTTTGAAGAGCCAGCCCCTGGCCCACCATCTTCTCTTTTCCTTCTGCCCCGAGATTAGCCATGTTCCAGACAGAGGTTGCTCCTTCAGCCTGGATCCCAGAGCTGCCACTCCACACCAACTATGTAGTATGAGTGAGAAGTAAGTGCTTGTAGATGTAAAGCAGCTGAGATGTTGGTGATGTTTGTAACCATGGCATAACTAAGCCCATCCTGCCAGGTACAAAAGCAAATGAGCAATATCACCCAAGAAGACCTCTGTATGATTCTGTCATACAAATTGCCAAATTTGCATGCAAATCTGTCATGCAAATTGCCAAATCTGTCATGCAAATTGCCAAATTTGCAAACAGGCAAAGCCGAAGAGTATATTATTTAGGAATAAACTTGGGGTGGCAAAATTATAAAGAAAACAAGAGCACGATTAACGCAAAATTTAGGGGAGTGCTTGCTTTTGGTTGGGGGTCAGGGAGACATAAAATTATAGAGTTCTAAACTATTCCTGTTATATTTTCTCCTTTGTGTGTGAATTATGCAACCTAAAGAAAAAGAAAGCAAAAGCACGGCAGATTGTGTTTGCCAAAGATGGACACAGTAACTCCTGTCGACGTGTTCTTTTGGAAACTTGCCACTCTCCCACGCCTTGGCCCTGGGCAACTATATGACTGCCTCTGTCAATACATTATGGCAGGAGCGATGCTCTGTGCCTCCTGAGACCAGATCATGAAAATGCCATGTACTTGTGCTTTGCTTTCCTGGACACTTTCTCTTGGATCCCAACGACCAGCCCAAACTAGCCCATATGGAGAGACCATGTGTAGGTGTTCTCTGGCTGACAGCCCAGCTGAGGTTCCCACCAACAGCCAACATCAAATGGCCGGACATGTGAGTGAAGACACCTCCAGATGACTCCAGCCCCCAACCATTGAGACACCCTCCAGCCTTCCAGTCTTCCCAGCGGAGGCCCCAGACATCAGGGAGCCAAGCCACCTCTGCTAGGCCCCGTCTTAACTGCTGACATGCAGAATGCACAATAAAATGGTTGTTTCATGCCACTAAGTTTTGAGGCTGTTTGTCATGGAGCCATTGATAATTGACACAGTTAAAACACGCACACACATTTTGAAAACTGTTTCAATTCCATACTACAAATATCTCTCCCTGGGCCCTCCTAAAGTGAGTTTGTGTATGTAAGGTGCCAGGCTGCCCACAGAATGCCCTGCAGGGGAAGCAGACAAAACAGACCACCAAGTCTAGGGCCAGCGTCTTTGAGAAGGAAATTCTCTCTTATTCCGTGGTGAAGGAGGTGGGAGCTTATTTAGTAGATGTGACCAGAGAGTTGCCCTGAACTATGATTCTTGCACTCTCTTCCTTACTCATTTACAAATTAATTCATTCACGAAACAATTGCAGGTCACCCAGAGTGCAGAGCCCAGGGAGCCATGGGTAGTTTGGCTTACCTTGGTGGTCTGGAGACTCAGAGCCATGGGGCCACGACCTGGGTGAGTTCTCCATCACCTGCAAACCCGTGAAGCACTGTGCGTCCCAGGCATGGGAGCCCCCCTCACTCCTCCCGCCTTACCTCCCCTCAAGTCGCCTGCTGGGCTAACAAAACAGACTTCTCTAATAAAACAAAGCAAAACAAACCTCCCTCCTTGGCCCTACAGAATCTGGAGTGGAAAGAGTTGTGACTCTCAAGACCTTTTGCCTCGTTATTATTCAGAGCCCAAACTCCCTGAGTCCTGTGACCTCACAAGGGCCCAGCCACATTTTCCGGAGGGCAAGGCATCCGGAGGAGGGATGACTACCACAGCTGGGCATGTCACCATCACTGTGTCCTCAGGAGCTCGGCTGCGGACACCAGAGGGAAACACTTCACCCTGGGTTTTGCTCAGTCTCTCTGCTGGCCTGCTGGCTCTCTTGGACTGCAACAAAGAGGTCTCACTCAGTGGCTCAGCACATGTGTGTATCCAGCACTCCTGTTGTGGATTTGGCTCCGGAAAGGGGCCTGGCACCTCCTGGAAAGGATACAGGGCAGGAGAATGGCTTGCTGAGAAGAATGCCCAGGGTAGGGCGCCTGGGTGGCCCAGTCTGTTAAGTGTCTGCCTCGGGCTCAGGCCATGATCTCAGGGTTCTGGAATTGAGCCCCGCATGGAGCTCCCTGCTCAGAGGGGAGTCTGCTTGTCCCTCTGCCCCTCCCCCTGCTCGTGCGTGCTCTCTATCTCAAATAAATAAATAAATAAATAAATAAATAAATAAAATCTTAAAAAAAAAAGTATTGTGTCCTCCAAAAAGATATGTTCAGGTCCTCACCCCTGATATCTGTAACTTTATTTGGAAGTAGGGTCTTTGTAGATACAATCAAGTTAAGATGAGATCACACTGGGTTAGGGTGGACCCTCGATCCAATGACAGGTGTGTTGGGTGTGGAGATTACTAAAAAAAAAAAAAACTTAAACGAGAAAGGAGAGGAAATTTTGGGTAGAGAGACACAGGGAGGCATAGGGAAATAGGTCCTGGGACAACAGAGGCGGGGGGTGGAGTGATGCACCACGAGCAACATTAAGGATGGCCAGCAAATGCTAGAAGTTAGGAGGTGGGGAAGAGATTCTCCCTCACAGCCCTCGGAAGGGACCAATCCTGCCCAAACCTGGAGTTTAGCCATCAGGACTGTGGGAGAATAAAGTTCTGTTGTTGTAAACCACCAGGTTTGTGGTACTTTGTTACAGCAGCTGCTGCTAACTAATGCACTCAGGGGGGAAAATGTTGGCTGTTGCATGACTTTAACCCTTTCCAAAGAGAGAGTATAGAGCATAGCGGTTACACACAGACCAGATCCGAATTCCAAACTGATCATCCACCAGCCAGCGTCTTTGGATGCATCACTGAACCTGAGTTTCCTTATATGCAAAAATTAGTGAAATGCAGTTTTCAGGTCATCTACGTAAAGTGCCAGGAACATGGCCGGCATGAAGTAAATGGTAGCTAACACTAGCATACTAGCCCAGACTCCATTCTCTGCAATCACCAAGGAAGCTTTCCTTTTTCACAGGGTCTTGCAATAGGACAGAAGCAAGAAGGAAGGGATTTGCAGATGTCTGAGGATAACCAAAACTGTAGTCTGGATAGGAGAGTGAGGTAAAGGGGGGACCTAAAACTTCTCTGAATAATCATGAAAAAGCCTATATTCATTTGGGATAACAGAAATTGTAAGCTGTTGTGTTTTGGGTTTTTGTGTTTTTTTTTTTAAGATTTTATTTATTTACTTGGGAGAGAATGAGAGAGGGAGAGAGAGCACAGAGGGAGAGGGAGAGGGAGAAGCAGAATCCCTGCTGAGCAGGGAGCCTGACGTGGGACTTGATCCCAGGACCCCGAGATCATGATCTGAGCTGAAGGCAGATGCTTAACTGACGGAGCTCCCCAGGCACCCCATGTTGTGTTGTTTTTAATTAAATGTCTCCTCAATGTGCATTAAAAAATATAGTGTCCGAGATACTATTCTTAGGAGAGGAGCATTTGTGTATTCATTTTACCCTAGAGTTATCTACAGGTTGTCAGGAAAAGGATCAGGAGGACCTCAGCAGGAAGGAGGAGGGCTGTCCTACCTAAGAGGAGGGGGTCTCCAAAGTGATGAGTTAGGGATGCCAGAGTCCACCCTGGGCAATTCTGCTGAAGCCCTCCAGTATAGTGTTGTTCTAGACCCATCATTCAGATCTCAGGAAAATATACTCTGGGAAATTATTGTTCCTATGGATTTGCCCTAATGGTTGGATGGGAATGGGGGTGGAAGGCGAAGGGATTCTAAGGTGAAACCAACCTAGTTGGGGGGGGGCTTCCTTGAACGAGGTGTAAAATCACACCGATGATGGAGAAGGGGTTCTCTCAAATAGAAAGAATTATACATACATTTTTTAGTAAACTCTACACTCAACATGTGGCTCGAACTCACGACTCTGAGATCAATAGTTGCATACCCTATCAACTGAGTGAGCCAGGTGCCCCAAGAATTAGATATTTTAAGTCTGGAAAGGAAGGCCAGGAACCAAGATGCCCATAGCACTCTTGTTCTTTTATCCTATCAGTGCATATTAGAATCTAGTCTTGGGCGCCTGGGTGACTCAGTCGGTTAAGCGACTGCCTTCGGCTCAGGTCATGATCCTGGAGTCCCGGGATCAAGTCCCGCATCGGGCTCCCTGCTCGGCAGGGAGTCTGCTTCTCCCTCTGACCCTCCTCCCTCTCATACTCTCTGTCTCTAATTCTCTCTCTCTCAAAATAAATAAATAAAATCTTTAAAAAAAAAAAGAATCTAGTCTTTGGAGGCAGAGGATATATACTCATATGATAAAATTATGGAGAAAAGCATGGGAATGATGAACACAAACTTCAGGATAGTGGAACCACTGGGGGTTGAGAGATCAATAAGATGGGGCAGGGCCTCCAGGGGGCTCCTATGGTTATAATAATGTTCTATTTTTTAAGCAGGGAGTGGAGGTACAGAGGCATCCATTTTATTATTATCCTTCAAAACTTATATATCCATTATATCCTCTCATATATGATATATCTCTCAACAAAAATCTGTAAAGATTGTTCATCACCAAGAGAGGACCGGGGAGTTAGTGTTTCATGGGGACAGAGCTTCAGTTTGGGAAGATGAAAAAGTTCTGGAGGTGGATGGTGGTGGTGGTTGTACCACAATGTAAATGTGTTTAAGGCCACTGAACTATACACTTAAAATGGTCAAAATGGTCAATTTTATGTTTTGTATATTTTGCCACAATAAAAAACAGCTATATGTACAATATGATTACCTTCCTCTTTCCCTCTGTGTGTGTGAGAGACAGAGAGAGAGAATGTATAGGAAAAAATCCAGCCGGATTTATATCAACATGTCCACAGTAGTTATATTTTGGTGTTTGGTGTTCAGGTTACAAATGATCTTTATTTTCTTCCTTATACTTCATGTTTTTCTATATATTACAGTTTTTGGCTATGAGTAAGTTTTACTGTGTAATCAGCAAAAAATAAACCTGATTTAGAAAGAAAAGGGGGGGTGATGCCTGGGTGACGCAGTCAGTTAAGCATCTGACTCTTGATTTCAACTCAGGTCATGATCTCAGGGTGGTGAGATCAAGCCCCGAGTCAGGCTCTGCACTCAGTGGGGAGTCTGCGTGAAGATTCTCTCCCTCTGCCCATCCCCCACTCTCAATAAATAAATACATACATACATACATACAATCTTTAAAAAGAAAGGGATCCCATGTTCTATCAAGAAGCATTGTGATTGACCTAATCAAATGAACAAGATAAAAAAAATTAAAAGGAAATTATTCTCCAATCAAAGTGATTCATCCAGAAAGCAGTAGAAATCAATAAAGGTGACATGGGCCAGCCTTAGATCGCTTCTTTGACGTATGCATGCCCATCTTACAATCCAGCATCTTCGGAAATGACCCCATTCTCTTCTTGCCAGCCTGAGAACCAACCACCAGCCTGAGTCCATTCCCAAATGGCTTTTTAAGAAAATCAATTCCTTGACCTCCTCCAGACTTACCTCTGGTGCCCATCGTGCCCAATCTGAATGAACCACAATACCGGAGCCCCTAAACACCCTTCCTTATAACTGTGCTTTTTCTTGGACCTCAGTATGGCCTCCACTTTCCTTTCAGCCCTGGGGTCCAAAGGACTTCTCTCTTCCTATTTGTGTGCTTTATCCTCCAGAATTCGTGTCGTAAAAGTGCAGGCTTCAGGGATCTCTGTGAGCCTCGACCTTGAGAGTTCTGCCTGTTCTTGCTCCCCAAGCTGAGCTGTGCCGTAGTCACTCCTTGCTGGCGTGGCTTTGTCCTTAATACCTGGTGGAGCTTAGACTTAGGTCTTGCAGAGACAGCCCTTTACTCAGCTGGTGAGTAAAACCTTCCAGAACAATCATTTGACAATATGCAAGAAGGCCCTGAAAATGTTCATCGCCTTTGAGACTCTGACCTTCTAATTTCATTTCCAGGAATATTTCCTTCGGAAATGAAACTGATGGACAAGGATTTATGCAGAAATATGA